CCTTCACACCCCGGAGGCCCGCGGCCGCGGATGGAACAGACGCGCTTCAGCAGTGCCCGCCTGTTTGAGAAGCGCACGTCATCCTTCGCAGTTAGTGACAGAGCACGTTATTAGCAGGGTTGCCACACCTGCCGGAGGGGAACTGCACACGCGGGAGAAAGCGTTTTCGGGGCGCCGGGGGTGCGGGTGCGGGCGGGGCCGCGGAGGCGGGGCCGCGCGTGCGTGGGCGGGCGGGGGCGGCGCGGGCGCCGGGACCGAGGGCGCTTTGGCAGGACCGCCCGCGCAGGCGGGGCCGGGAGCGCGGTCTCCCGGCTTTGTCCACTGAGGCTTCCGTGCCAGCAGCTGCAGGGAGGCTTCTGTTGAGAGCAGCACGTTTGAAAGTGGCATTTCCGGGGACAGAACAAGGCTTGAGGACCAGGACCATCGGGGTCCTCATTCTGTACCTGCTCGGAGGTAGCTGAGGAACCCGCGGGGCAGGTAGGCCCGTGCAACTGTCTCTTTGTCGCCTGGTGTCCCTCCCCCTCGTGCCCCAGCGTTCAGTGAGCTTCCACTAAGACGGTCTGTGCAAAAGCCCGTAAATAGATGAGAAGACACCACGCAACTATCAAATATTGTTATTTCTCTACATTAGAGGAGCCGTCTTTTCTGAAGCTGTTTGAAGGGCGGATTGGAGGTGTGCCTGCCTACATCCCAAAGGGCGTCTGTCTGTACCCAGAAAGACCCACTCCCCATTGTCCTGTTGATCTTTCAGGCAATCCTGGGAGGTAGATAGATGTAGGAAGGTACCTCAGGGAGGATAGGAATTTTGTCTGAGATCATGCAGGTTGTGCAGCGAGCTTAGGGGGAGGAATGTGACTCCAGGCCCCCCACCCGTACTTGACCTTGGAGATGTCTTTTCCTATCCAGCCATGTGTAGTTTCTTTGCCATGACTGGTCTTAGCTCTTCTTGTAGGTGTGACAAATATTTGGCTGAATAGGTGTGACAAATATTTGGCGGGTGAATCTGCTGTAAAATTATTTTAATCACGTGAAGACATGTGAACAGGGATCTGGCCCCGTGGGTCTCCAGGATGGTGAGCTCTGACGCTCTGAACACCCTTCCCCAGCTGGCTGGCTCACAGCTTCACAGGGCGCCAGGTTCCTCAAGTATCCCATACGATGGAAAACAAAATCAAATACATTTGAGACTTTACATTCAATGGTTGTTTTATCTTCTACTATTCACGGAATAGCTGCCTCACACTTGCCACTTAACTGAAAGACTTAATCCTTCTTTTTAACATGTCTAGAAAGTACTACGCAGGATTATTGAAGAAACTTATGAAAAACATTTTGGATTGTCAGCTCTGCTGAATATGTCAGTTATATGGAAAGAAATTTGTGTTTAGAACAGTTGAATTAAGGCTTCGTGCTTTAAAAAGAAGTGTTATTTTGATTCCCATTTTAATAGGAGCTGTGGGTCATAATTTGGAAGTGTGAAATGATGATTCATCAGATTTATTAACTCTAAGAGAATGCAAAACAAGATTTTACCATTTTAAAGGATCAGAAAATTTTTGAAAAAGATGTCCCAGTGTAGACTTTCTTCCTTCGTTCTACAAACAGGTGTCAAGCACAGACTGCGTA